ACCTGGACCTTCTCTTTAGTCTTTGATCATTCTTTGAGCTATATTTATTCACAGAATACTTGAACCTATGTTTAAGTGGTGGCCCAAGAAGCAGAATAAATGGATTTTTAGCCCTGGCTCTGCCATTCAGTGATTATGTGACTTCAATATGTCCCTTGCCCCTCTCTTGGCTTTGAGGTCCCATCTATACAAAAAAAGGGTGGCACTAGGCAATTTCTTTTTAGGACAGGCTATAATTCTGTTTCCTCAGACTCTTTTCCAGATCTTTCTTTGGCTTGCTCTTATCTTCAAATTTTCTAAACTTCATACCAGCAATCATATCTCAGAGCCTGGAGGAAACTTACAACTATAAGGTTCCCTTCCAGATCCTGGGCTTTTGGCCCAGTGGCCAGTCATCTCTTGGCCAAAGCCAGCTCATTCCTTAAGGAAGATGCTGGAGCTCCTTCCTTCCTACTACATCAGTGAGCACACCTTGAACTGACGCCAGCCAACCTAAAACATACCTGCCTCTTCCTACCTTACCTCCTGCCTGCCTCCTGCCTAAACCTATTCTGTTCCAGGGGTAAAGGTATTCCATTGGAAAGGCAGCCCCACTTATCACCAAGGCTGATATGTTTGCTTCTCTTAGACCTCAATCTGTATCAGGGACAGCCATCCTGTCAAAGTAGAGCTTTAGCCACCTAGACACAGATACCTTCAGCCTCTGGCCTGCTCTGTCCATGTGACATTTTGTAACATCAGTTTTAATGCTCTAGAAACCAGGTCTGCCTTTTCAGTCAGGCTCTCCACGATTCTAGAACATTTTCTAACAAGAACTTAAGATTTCCATTTTTACAGACATCCAGCTGACTTAGTCCAGGATTTGAAGTTGCCACCTCTAACAAGCTCCACCATCAATTCCTGGAGGGTAAAAAGAAGGTGATTATTTTTTCCTACAGGGATGAAAAAATTGGACTCATTTATTCACCACGTGGTTTGGGTTCCCAACTGTGTACCACATTATCAGTACTTCTCAGGGGCATCAATTGGAAAGTACCTGAAATGCAGCCCTGTTACAAATGTATTCAGATCAGCCAGTGGAGAGACACAAGCTATCAGACACATTAATTCCCCTTTTATCAAGTTGTGCTTATTTATTCTCCTACATTAAGCTGAGACAGCAGAGAACAAACTATCTGAGCCCTGTTATCTCTCCAACTGGCAGAAATACCTCTGTCCCCCTCTTCCTACAGTTGCAGTCCATGCTCCTAGGCTTGATGGTGCCATGGGCAGGAGCAGCGTTGCCATTCATTTGGGGTAGCACTTGCTTAAGTCATAATACATTCTTGTTCAGGTCCCAAGTGAAGACTTCTCAGTTTAACTGAGTGCCAGGACTGATTGGCCCTTGACAACTACTCAGTCGGCTTTCACTATAATTTTTTGTTGCCAGAGAACAAACACCGAAAACCCTAGTAAATTTCCATTTGCGTCTTGGCTTCCAGGAAGCTGCCAGCCAAGGTCAATGCCCCATGCACTTCACCATACCCTCTCCGTAGCAGGGAACATCCTCTGCCTTTCTTACCCTAATTGTCCCACTGAGCAGTGTGTGTTGGCCTCTTGGTGGGCCCATAGCATCTAAGATGAATGGGAAGAGGCTTGAATTATAAATTCAGAAGCATTCACAGGGTCCTTGGGAGTCTAGGTCTCTCTCAAGTACTTTCAAAACAGGCTTGGAAGGGCTTGTTCCTGGGCCTTCACGATCTGACTTCTGTTCACCCTCCAGGCTCATTTTCCCCCAACTTCCCCTTCACTTATTCTACTCTAGCCATGAATCTTGTTTTTTTTTCCTTTAATATACCAAGTTATTTCCTGTCTTAGGGCCTTCACTCATACTGTTCCATTTGCTTAGTACACTCCTCACCCCTGCTACTCCACCATCTTCACCCATCCCATCCTTTAGGTTTCAACTTATTAAATATGATTTCATCAGAGAGGTCTTCTCTGACTTTCCCAAAGTGGAAGTGCTATTTCTTAGCACCCTATACTCTTCCTCGATAATGCCAATCACAATTTGTAGTTATTTTTGTAGCTTTCTATTTAATAGATCTCTCCTCCACTAGGCTGTAAGCTCTAGGAAGTCAACAGCAGTTTTGTTCTCTGCTTGATTTCTAATGCCTGGAACATACTAGAGACTCAATATATATTTATTGAGTGAATATATGAACAACGATCCTGAAAATCAGGCAGAAATGTCAATCCTAGAGGTAGATAACTCAATAGAAACCATTTTGACTTACCTCTACGTTACCTAGACACCCTAGATACTCAGGGCTCTTGTAGTTTCACTTCAGTTAGAAGGAAGATTACAGGAAATCTTCCCCATCTGAGCTCTGGCTCAGATGTCAGTCAGAAATCCCAGATTCTTCTTCTAGCTCTTCTACTTACTAGATTTTTGATCCTAAACAAGCCTTCTGCCACCCAGGATCTCAGTTTCCTTCTATGAAAAATGGGAATAGTAATTCTTATTCACATAGTACTCATGTGATAATCAAGTGAGACAGGGTCTATCCTTTGGCACTTTGTAAATAGTGATGCACTGTGCATCCATACAGAATGGCTGCCACTATTTATGTCCCACCTCAGTTATCATTGTTATTGCTACCAAAGGTTCCCTCAAAACTCCCCCAAATCAAGGTATTGTGTAATGCTCTGGGACTCTGGAGTGAGTTGGTTGCTTCTCATAGAGCAAAAGGAGGCACTCACTGAGAAAGCATATGGACCAGCCCACCCCAGCCTTCTGGAGTAGATTATAGGGTTTTCTTTCCTGAAAAGCTAGATCATAGCAGCTCAACCGAGAATGGGACATTTTGAGGTCACAGCTCATTGTTTCCACAGCAGTGTGCTTATGAAGGACTCAGGGATGTTCCAGAGGGACTGGCAGCTCACTCTTCATATACAGAAAGTTTGTGCTGGTCAAATTCTCAAAATGCCTCATGTCACAAGAGGAGTAGGTATTCATTTCTAAAACAGAACAGAGCCTCAAGGAGACATCCAATCCAGGAAGGGCTACACTCAGCCAAGCTCCACAGTAAAGAGGTTTATAGCCCAGGATTATGGAGGCAAAGATAAGAGAACACCTAGCAGTTTTAAAGGAATGAAAGTCCCCTTGTCCAGGTGCAATTCATCCCTAAAGCCTGAGGAAGTTTTTAGATGTGATAAGAAATATGCAATTTGTAATGGAAGCAACTGCTTGGTGTTTGTTGAATAGAATAGTTTCTTTGTAGAATCACAAAGAATGGGACTTGAAAGAGGCAAAAGTCACCCTGCTTTCTGCTTTTTTCCAAAAGCAGAAAAAGGAGAGCTCCAGAAGATTGGGTAATTTTGAAGACTGTTTGAACATCTGTTCCCAAAGTGAGCTGATTAAAAAATTGCTGTCCGACTGAATAATTATCTTTTAATGACATGTATCACAGGACTCTCTGTCTGGCATTGTTGTAGTCATTATTTATAGCATACTGTAGGTGAAGACATAGAAGCCAGGCTGGCCACCCTTGAAGATTTTCTGCTTGCCCTCATGGAAATAGGCTTACTCTGCACTGAGATGTCCAAGTCTGAGAAAAGGTCTAGGCAATTCAAGCAGAGTGTCCAGAGAAGATTCCATGGAGTAAAGTGCCTGTGAATAATGGAGAAAGAGCACAGCTAAGGTGAGCAGGGGAGGTGATACAGGATGAGGGAGTAGATCAGCTATGCTGGAATGGAAATTTTGTTTTGGGAAGAAAAATTGAAGATGATGGAATTGGTAGGACAGTGTGCAGGGGCCAGATCAGGAGGGCCCTGAAAGCCTGGCTAAGTAGCTTGCATTTTATGCTTCTGGCAATGAGCAACAATTCACTGACTTATTCATTCACTCATTCAGCATATATTTACACAGACCCTACTTTCTGCCAGACCTTGCACCTGCTCCTGGCTGGGGATACAGAGATGAGGAAGATGGGATGCTTTCCAGATGCTCACTATTTTGAAAGGCAGTCCAACTCAATAAACATCTGATTACAAGAATATGCTCAGGATGCAGGGAAGGGAGGGCGTATTAGGAGAGCTACTGCAGAGGTGCTGAGGCAGGGGTTGGGGTTGAGAGTGCAGTCAGTTTTGTTCTTTAGGTGAGCACTTCCAAACTGCCTCCTATGGACCAGTAACTGCTCCATGAAGGTGTACCACAGGACAATGGGGAGAGTTTTTCATAAGCAAAATGTATTAGAAATATTTTCCTTAAGATTTTGAATTTTTCCCACTTTCTGATAAAAAATTCCTATCCCTTTTTGAAGCAGTGATGATTAGGTAGATGGTAGCTGGACTTCTTTCATGTGTCCTTACTTAGAACAATAAGAAGTTGCACCTCATGTCACTCCCTCCCAGCTGATTTCATTTATGCCAGTGGGTGCCTTCTAGAGTGTGGCAGATCCCACCTGGGAAACCACACAGGGCAGCAGCCAAGGAAAGGAATCCTAATTAGAACAGAAATCAAGTTGACAGAAATAAGCCTGTGGCTCTCCTGGCACATGCTTTCATCACACACAGGCAAAGAGGGTAGAGAGACCCGGACAAGTCCAAAAGGAAACTAGCATAAGAAAATGGGCTCATTTAAAATGGAAGGGATTCATTTGGGTATCAAAAAGAATGCCAGGCTGGAGAGGTAATTTACAGAAAAGTGACTTGAAGAGCTCCATGAACCCTTTTCCCAGTGAAACAGCCATAAATGGTGAATATTACTAAAGAACACAATTGTATTCAGCAAATGGATAAACATTTACTCAAAAATATTTACTAAATCTCAGCAAGAACAACCACCAGCACCCTTATCTACTCCTCAGCTCAGCATGATGGATGTTTTACTCCTCCCAGTCACAGTTCAGAACAGAGGGATCCCTGTATACCCTGTTTTCTGGCTAGGGCTAAGATTTCTCCTCAGGAGCAGGCTGCCAGCATTTCTCATCCCCTCCCCCAGCTCCACTTTGCAGAAGCTTTGCTCCAGTCAAGAGTATCTGAGGGATCTGAAGCTCTCCTTATCACAGGGGTCCCCAACCTATGGTGAGTTGTATAATTATTTCATTATATATTACAATGTAATAATAATAGAAATAAAGTGCACAATAAATGTACTGCACTTAAAAATCTTCCCAAACCCAGTCTGTGGAAGAATTATTTTCCATGAAAATGGTCCCTGGTGCCAAAAAGGCTGGGGACCACGGTCTTATCAGAGGAGAGGAGAGAGAGAGAGAAAGAGAGAGAAGGTGGAAAGGAGGAGACAGAGAGAAACAGGAAAAGTATTCAAAGAAGTTGCTTCTTTGAAAAGATCAATAAAATTGGCAATGTTTAGCTAGGTAGACAAATATGTGAGAAGGCTCAGATTACTAAAATCAGCATTGAAAGAGGGAACATTACTACTGATCTTACAGAAATAAAAAGGATTATAAAAGAATACTATGAACAAGTGTATACCAACAAATTAGATAATTAGATGAGATAGAAAAAATTCCTAGAAAGATACCTAAACAGAAAATCTAAATATGTTACCAAAAGTTCAATACTCGTCCCTGCAGCCCAACAAAGAATGAGGGCAAACAGTTTGAGGAGAAGGAAAAAGAAGTTTATTAATTTGCTGACTAATGAAAAGGATGTCAGACTTGTGTCTTAAAGTACCATTGTGTCTTAAAGTACCTATTGCTTACCTATAGTTGATGATCCTGATCAATCCCATCTCCAGGGAAGACAATCTTACAACCTCTGCCTGTACAATTCCATTGAGCCATCTCCTGCAGTACAAAGAACAAAGGATATTCCCCTACCCCTCTGATTACTGGCCTCTGGCAGGGATGCAAGTTTTTTTCCAGAATATTATGGGTGTACAAATGTTTTGGTTACATGAATTGCTTTTGTACTGTTTGAGACAAAGTTATAAGTGTGCCCATCGCCCAGATAGTGTACATTGTACCTGTTAAGCATGATTTCACCCATCTCCTCCTGCCCCCTCTGGAACTAGAGACCATTCCCCTTACTGAAGTCTGGCAAGAATAGAAAAACAAACACCACATGTACTCACTATTAAATTGGAACTAACTGAATGGCACTCATGTACACAAATGGAAGTAAAACACAATGGGATGCAGGTTTTAATTCCCAAAAAGGGTGAGGGGGTTTTAAAGACACAAGTCGTAAAACATTTTACCCTTTTTCAGGCTGTTCCCTCTGTTACAAAAAGACCTATAAAAAGAGATTGGATTTCATAATTCAAATAACTTTCACAATGAATAGAACAGGTCCATATGGCTTAATGGCTGGATTCTACCAAATGTTTAAATAATTAACACCAATCCTTCTCAAACTTCCAAAAAACGGAAGAGGAGGGAACACTTCCCAATGCATTCTATCAGGCTAGTATTACCCTGATACAAAAATCAGACAAAAACATCACAAGAAAAGAAAGTTACACACCAATATTCCTTATGAATATTGGTACAAAAATCCTCAACAAAATGATAGCAAACCAAAACCAATAGCATATAAAAAGGATTATATACCATGATAAAGTGAGATTTAACTTGGGAATACAATGTTCACACATACCATATATGTATGCATGTATACAGATATATAGTGTGTATATATATACACACACGCATATATATATATATATGCGTGTGTGTATATATAGTGTATTTGTGTGTGTATATATTCTCTACACTACCCTGATTTTCCCTATAGAGTGCTTTACAGACTCCTAAAAGGGATTGAGAGAGTCAGGTTCAGGGACCAAAGCCAGGGCTTCCCACTGTGGGTTAAAGGAGTGGGGAGAGGATTTGAAATTATATGGGATTGCAGGGTGGGAACTGAAGACCACCCTTGGGGATGCACTTCCAACTATGTTAGTGAGGAGAAACTTGCCTTTCACCCCCCGCCCCCCCGTTCCCCCCCACCCCTGTCAAAGATCACTTCAAAAGATCAATTCACAATTAAGGCAGATTAATAAAAGAGGATTATTTACCATGCACACAAGGAAAATCACAGAGTGATTACCTAATATCCCAATGGGAACCAGATATTTTCATACCTGCTTTTTTAGAGAGGAAGGGGAGATGAGGACTATAGGTAATTCTGGTTAGGGGCAATAAATGGTTGCTGGAGAGGATAAACTGATGGCAGAAATACATTGGCTTGTAAATTAACCTGAGAGACAAGTATTATGTTTAAAATGAATTGGGCCTGGTATGGTTGCATTCATGATTTTCTTTCTTTCTTTCTTTCTTTCTTTTTCGGCATATTATGGGGGGTACAGATTTTAAGGTTTCAATAAATGCCCTTTCCCCCTCCCCCAAGGCTGAGTTTCCAGCATGACCATCCCTCAGATGGTGCACATGTCACTCATTATGTATGTATATACTCACACCTTTCACCTCTCACAAAAATAAACTCACGCTGGATAACAGACTTAAACCTAAGGTATGAAACTATTAGGATTCTAGAGGAAAATGTGGAAACACTCTCCTAGACTCGGCTGGGCAAACAGTTTATGAAGAAGTCCCAAATGCAATCAAAGCAGCAACAAAAATAAATAATGCATGATCAAACTACAAAGCTTCTGCACAGCCAAGAAACAGTCATGAAAGTAAACAGACAGCCTGACAGAAGTGGAGAAATTTTTGCATCCTACGTATCCGATAAAGGCTGCATAACTAGAATGATACTTAGAACTCCACGAAAATCAGTAAGAAAAATCAAATAACCCTATTAAAAAGTGGGCAAGGATTGAACAGAAACTTTTTAAAGAAAGAGCAAGAAGAATGGGCAACAAACATGAAAAAATGCTCAACATATCTAACATCAGGGAAATGCAAATCAAACCACAATGAGATATCACTTAACGCCATGAGAATCGCCTTTATCAAAAAGTCTCCAAATAACAAATGCTGGCGGATGTGGAGAGAGAGGAACACTCCTTACACTGTGGTGTGGACGACAACTAGTTCAACTCTGTGGAAAGCAATATGGAATATCCTTAAAGTGATACAAGTGAATCTACCATTTGATCCAGCAATCCCATTGCTGGGTATCTACCCAAAAGATCCAATGACACTCTACAAAAAAGATACTGCACTCGAATGTATAGCAGCACAATTCATAATTGCAAGGCTGGTGGAAACAGCCCAAGTGCCTCAATCCAAGAATGGATTATAAAAAGTGGTATATGTACTACCTGGAGTACTATTCAGCTCTAAGAAACAATGGTGATATAGCACATCTTATATTTTCCTGGTTAGAGCTGGAACCCATACTACTAAGTGAAATATCCCAAGAATGAAAAAACAAGCACCACATATATTCACCAGCAAACTGGTATTAACTGAGTAGCACCTAAATGGACACATAGGTACTACAGCGGGCATTCTTGATTTTCTTTCTTGCAATATAGTGAGATAGCAGGGAAGGGAAAGGAAGTCCATTGTTCTTTTGGTGGTCTATCTTGTTATGGAGATAGAGGGAAAGTCCCTTCCAAAGCCTGTTGATCTCTAAGGCCTTTAATTCAAAATATTCTTTATATCAAGGAGTCATATTTTCGGATGAAATTTCCCAGGCTTCAACCTTGAAGGTGGTGCCATCTCAAGTACCTCTTTCCTGGGGCACACTGATGCTTTTTGGAAAGTAAAAGGGGAGATCAGTGGCCCTGGCCTTGGGCAGAAGCTGGGAGCCAGGCAGGGTTTAGTGCAGATAATGCCTGGGGGGCATGTATATTTGAATTTCTACCTTGATTCAAACCCCCAAAAGAGAAAGGTTTGCATGGTAGCTTTTGAGGTTTTAGGCAAAGGCAGAGGAGATTGGAAGGTATTCCTAAATATACTTATTGTTATTCAATTTGGTTTTTTTTAACCTTCCATGAATATCCATGCCAAAAGATTGATTTTTCTACCACTGAAGCATGAAAGTCACTGCTGATACATGATGTTGCTAGTGATACACTTACACACAGTAGCTTTCTTCATAAGAGACAAAAACTAGAGAGAACCCCTATGTCCATCCTCTCCCCCAAACCTTGAGCCCTAGCACTGCATCAGGCTCAGGGCCTAAGTATTGGTCTCCGTAGCTGAGTATATCCAAAGCCTCCTAGACACCCACCTGCCCTGGATCACACACTTAGCCTTGCAGAAAAATGGTAGTAAGCAGCAAAGGCCACCTATGACCATCTCAGTTCAGAAGCAAAACCCTAGGATATGGGTCAATTTTATCACCTCAAACTCTACTCCTTTATAATGACAAGATTCAACTGTAACACATAAGGCAAGAGTTCTTTTGGCATGTTTTAAAAGCACATGTACTAAATAGTCACTTGGCCCCTAAGAGCTTAAGGCTTTCTTCCAAAAACAACAGTTGCCCGTTTAATTTCTAACAAAGCAATAGAAACTCTTGACTGTAAAATACTGCACTGATTCATATGCCTACAAAGTCACCGATCTATGTTTGGGTATTTAATCATTCAGAATTCTAGGAACACCAACGATCCCTTCACCTACTCAGGGAATGCTCCTCTTTCCTGAATGTTTCTTAATTCCAACAGCCTTATAGTTCATTTATGCCCTGCTCCTATCCCACTCCTGTTCCTCAATAATTTTTTTGCTTCTCACATTTTGGGGCAGGGGCAGATTTGTACTTCTTAGTATGCTTGATCAAAGCAACTGAAGTTGTAAGAAATGAGACCTCAAATCATTTACCCAAGCTGGGTGTTAAAGTAATAATAATAATAAAACAGAGAAAAGAAAAAATTGAGGTAAATACTGTGATTGAGAAGGGACAGTGAGTTAGAAATTGTGACATTGAAATACAAAATTTTTAAAACAGCACATTTTATTTTACAATAGTCACAAAACTCCCCAATTTGTCCCAGTTGTGGCATTTAGTGGTTACAGCTATGCTTATTATTTTTGGTGGTCACCCATACTGATGAAGATTTTTTAATTTTTAAAACGTGAAAGATTCAACAGAGATTCTGCATTTCACATCAGTTTGCAAGTCCAAGTAACTTCCATTTATCTTAGCAT